GACGTCCGCGGCGCCCCAGGCGCTTTGTGACCAGATGCGGAGCCCAGCGGTGGGCGCGGGCCAGATGCGGGGCGGCAGCTGACTTGCAGGCGAGGAGGCGCGGAGCGCGCGGGCGGTCCCGGCGCCACTGACTTCGCCGCCGCCAGGGCTGGAGCCCCGCAAGGTAAAGCTGCAACCCCCTCTTGGGTCCCACACCCCAAGCCCTGACCCCCGCGCGTCTGCTTTCTTTGTTCCCCTAAGAGACCTGGCTGCTGTTGCCCGGCGCAGGACGAGAAGGTGGGCGCGAGTTTCCGATCGACGGCCCCTGGAGGGATGTGGCTGGGGGCGAGGTGGAACCCTGAATTGGGCTGCCCGTGCTCGGGGCTTGCTTCCGAAGACCACCTGTATGACTCAGGAGGCGGGGCGGGGGCGGGGGCGGGGGTCGCTGGGCAGAGAGTGGTGTGTGCTGGTGCGAACGGGCAGGTTTCAAGGCTACCATCTGAGTCAGCTGCAAGAGGAATCTGGTCACCCTGCCTGGCGATGCCATCAGCCAAATTTGTTCCAAGCTCTTTCCTCGTTCCTCCTAACGTGCGGGGGTCCTTCCCAGGGGCAGGTGCTTCTGTGAAGGTCCCGAGTCTTCCTTGGTAGCGAACGCACAGAGAGCATTTGTGATCCATCGTTTCCAATCGTACCTTATCTCTGTGCTGGGACTCTGGGAGGCCATCTATCTTAATAGGTGAAATAGACTGGTAGCCAAAGGTCAGGCCCGCCTGGCCAGTGTTGGTACTGATCCAGTAATTAAAGCACACGTGAAACTACTCTCACTGATACGGGGCTTGCAGAATGTGCCCTAAAGTGCTTTCCCGCTTCGTGTCTTGATTTTATTTATTTATTTTTTAAAGCCATTTGCTACTTTGGCAGCTGGGGAGGGATCCCGAGGTTGACACATGAATAGTTGATGACCTGCCCTGTCTCGGGTTGTTTCCCTCACCCATACCCAGGCACCTCGCCATGCCAGTGGATTCAGGAAAACATTATTTTCCATTACAGTGAAGCTGTGATAGCTGACTAATGATTTTTGTTCTGTATGAAGATGATCTGAAAATGATGTACATCATGTTTCTCTGTGCTGCTGGGGCATAAATTGTGCTTTTATGTTAGCACAGTAAGTGGTAGTTGGATTATTTACAGGTCTATAGTGTTCCTTTGGAGCGCGTAGCTTGTTGCATTTTATTTTGAACGTGGAAACGTCCATGATAGAACAGAGACTGCCTTTCGCATGCTGCCAGTCTGTGATGTTCAGTAGTCATTGGCAGGTAAGATGGGCATCATTCACCGGATGGTTTGAAACTGGGTCTGATAGTCAAGCATACAGGTGGTTTTTTAAATCTGTTCTATTTCAGACTTAAGACTGTGTATGTGTCTAATGATTAACTTTAATGTGTTTTGTTTTCAATGTGTTGGCATCTGTGGCGTACAAAGGAGAGGATATGCTCCCCCCTGCTCTCCCCCACCCCAAGATGGCTCTATTCTGAGTACACAACATGAGGTATTCTCAGGAGATGTGCACAGCATGCCTTCAAAATTAGTGGATGGGCTTCATCTGAGTGAGAAAAATGCCCCAAATCAGGCACAGCCACATATTGTGAAAACTCACAATTAATATTTTCACTACGTGATATCCCTCCAATAAGAGGGAAAATGGCACTTTTCTAAACCAGAGAGATACTCATAGGGACATGTAAGCACATATCACATTTGAATTTCAATTTTTTTTTAAAAGGCTCTAATAAGGCTTAGCCAGTGTTTCCCAAAGTGGGGGTTACTGCCTTGGGAGGGCACTGGCACAATCCAGGGGGCAGTGCAAAAGCAGATACCTACCGTTTATCCTAGATTATGGGATATAATACTAAAGTTTTTCATTGCCAGGGGGCCCTGAGTAATTTGTAATTTTTATTTTAAGGAGGCAGTTGGCCAAATAAGTTTGGCGGACAAATACATTTCAAAAGTCAATTTCCCTAGCTGTTGGTAAAAAAAAAATCATAGTTGAAAAATCATGCTAATCTATTTTGTTGTTGTTATTGAAAATTTGCTTAAAAGCTTCCAATCAACTTTTGCTACTATGTTATCAGCTCCAAACACAGTGAATAATAGCTCAGAAGGGCTAACACCCTACAGGACATGCACTCTCTCTTCCTGGCTGCACAGAGCCTGCAGTGACGCTGTGAGAGTGAGGCACAGCGCCTTCCCATTCAGAACATACCCACACACACACACCCGCTCGGCCCCCCTCCTCCATTTCCCTTTACTACTTGGTTGGAGTTTCTTCCAAGTCCTTTAATTTCTCTACGTCAACTTTGGGGTTTCTACCTCATTGTAGGGAGGCTATAGAAATCTTCTCCCCATTCCCCTTAAGATTTTCCTGGTTGGCTGTGCTTGCTCATGGGAGACCCAGTTTCCTAAATGTCTCCCTTGAAGGGCAGAAAACACGGGGAGAAATGCAAGTGCCAGGGAGCTCACCTTCCCTCTCTGTCTGTTGGATGTTGAAACTGGTGATGTGGACCCTGAGCTCGCAGGGCAGAGTTTTGTCGTGGGTTTTGCTCAATGCAAACTCAACAGTCACTTCTCCACAGTAAACAATAGGGACACTGACTAGTGTCCGTTTGGGATCTCTGGGAGTACAGGTTAACAGGCACTCAGTGGCAGCCGCCAGCCAGACCCACAGTGGCCTCCCTCAAAGGAGTTGTGACTGTGTGTGTGGGAAGCATCCTATTGCACTGGGCACTGGGGATATGAAGGAGAATGAGAGAGCAAAATCGCTGCCTGCAGAGCATTTACAATCCACCTAGAACACACAAATAAAATGGGAAACGTACATCATCCTTAAGAGGACAACACATGCAATCGATAATGTTAGAAAGTATCCCCAAACCAAACCAAACTCACTGCCATCAAGTCGATGCTGACTCGTAGCGCCCCTGTGGTGCAGGGTAGAACTGCCCTGTGGGTTTCCAAGACTGGAACTCTTTACTGGAGTAGGAAGTCCCATCTTTACCCTGCAGAGTGGCTGGTGGTTTCGAACTGGTGCCCTTGCAGTCATCAGGCCGATGAGTAACCACTACACCACCAGGGCAGTTGGTACTAAATAATACAAATCTTTGTCAGCTTCCAAAACCTGGAACATACAGACCCCTTCCAGGTTCCAAACTGCTTCTGAGAATGGCATCTTTCTAATGCTTCAACAACATAACCAGCGCTGATACTAGCATGTTCACACGCCTGTGTTCCAGGCAAGGGGACTGTGTTCGCGGCAGCACTTCATCACTGCTCCTCAGCCATCGAGGAGGGTGAACCCCCGGTAGCAGGTTCCACTGAGACACAGGTTGAGATCCTCAAGTTAGTGATCAATGACTAACTTTTCTCACCTTCTCTCCAGTGAGGCCTCCCCTTTCTCCTTCTGTCACACAGAAAACCCAGAAGGGGCTCCCGTCCTCTGTGTGGAGTGCTGTAATCCTACTATCAGATTAGAAGCTGCGAGTAATTTTGTAATCTCTCCTTCTATCAGAAAGCCCCTGCTCAGATATCTCTTCAGCTGTGTTAAAGAGTATAATATATTTCCCCCTGGGATTGGTTTCAATAAAAACGTACAGTAAAATCTGACTACTTTGCTTTTCAAGGGACAAAATGAAGGAAGTGTTTTTATAAGCTGTAAAATGTAATTGGGAGACAAAGCACACCTGTGGCATTTGTCACAGGAGGTGTGAGCTCCATGAAATGAAAAAGCCACCCACTATGCAATCACAAACCCAGGCGCATGGTTTTCTTCTGTGATTGTGTACATTTATACAAGCGTGTCTGTGCAGGTTAGTTCTGTTGTTTCAGAATTCTGGCATAAATTGTTACGTGTTGCACTAACCCTTGCAAGGTCTGCAGTTCAAACGTATCAGCCACTGCGAGGGAGAAAGATGAGGCTTTCTGCTGCCATAAAAATGTACAGTCTAAGAAACCCACAGTGGCAGTTCCATGCTGCCCTATAGGGGTCGCTGTGAGTCAGAATTGACTTGGGAGCAGAGAGAGTTTTTAAGCCCCCTACAAACTACATACAGGCCAATGGGCCATTTAAGTTACATATGATCCCATCATGCTTTAAAATGTGTTTCTCCTAACCTATAACAACGAGTAGCAATGATGAAACGTGGCCAGAGAATCACAGGTCTCACGTGAAAGCCAGGCCCCTGTCTTCTCAGAGTTGGATTGAGGGATCCTTCAGATCCTTCAGAAGGATTCCTTGAGCAAGTACCAGGCTCAGCTCTGTACTGTGGCGAGGCCTCAAGAGAACAAAGCAGACCAAAGTCTTTGACCTCTTAATGTCCTGTTCTATTCAAAGAGGCAAGCAATACGGAAATATATAAACAGGGTTTTGTGTGTCAAGCTGCAAGGAAGAGTAAAATATTGAAGGGGAATAAGGATGGTGGAGTAGAAGAAGGGATGGAAATTTTGAGGAATAAGATCAGAGAAGGCCTCACTTTGAACATAAGCTAGAGCCCGAAAGAGATTCGGGAGTGATCCCTGTAGATGTTGCGAAGCAGACTTGAAGAGATGATTCATGCGGTGCGTAGCCTGCACAGCTGTGCTAGAGGCCCTGGCTTTCTAGAGGTGGGACTTGGACAGTGTTTGCCATAGCCCCCTACCATTTCAAGGAAGAATATGTAGGAGTAGCCTGTGGTGTATGGAGTTATGGAAAGAGAAACGTGCTGTGCTATTTGCCTGCACTTGCCCGTCTCCTTCTTGTCCCCATCTGCAATTAGGAATAGTACTGCATCCCAATAACTTTTTCTCCTGAGCGTGCACACTGTGAGCCCGACCAGATGGGATTCGTTGACAGAGAGACCCATTCCACTGACCCCGTGGCTGATTATTTCCACCAATGTGAAGGGAGAGAGTGGAGGAGTCACCGCCTGGCCCTGGGCAGCCTCTGGCTGCTGGCAGCATTTCTTTCTGTTCTTTCTCCTCCCTTTGATCTCTCTCACCTCCTTTCCTCTCCAGAGTTCTTCTTCCACTGCATTTTATTTTCTTACTCTTTTCTCCCTTCTTCCTGTTCCTTTAAATTATATATATACACACATATATATACAGCTGAGCACAGGGGCCAGACAAGTAACCAACATGAGAAAAGAAACCATT